CAACGTCTAGACCCAACACCCAGAGCCAACACCCAGAGTCAACGTCTAGACCCAACACCCAGAACCAACACCTAGACCCAACACCCAGAACCAACGTCTAGACCCAACACCCAGAACCAACACCCAGAGTCAACGTCTAGACCCAACACCCAGAACCAACACCTAGACCCAACACCCAGAACCAACACCCAGAACCAACACCTAAAACCTGTGAACTCCAGGTTCTGGTTCCTACCAATGACCCACATCAACATTTGGTCTAAACATGTAAAACCAGAACCGTGTCTGGTCCAACTTCACCACATCAGGTTCTACTGATGCTAGAGCCTCAACAGGTGATGAAATGTGACCAGAGACTGGATTCTAGTAGAACCATGGATCCATCCATAGACAGACACTGACAGGAACGTTCTGGATCAGCACCAGCCTGATTGAAGATGTTGCACTTCTTCCTTTGTGAAGGTCAATAATTAGTCATCATTGTCATTTTGGAGAGTTCTGAGTGGTTCTGAGCAGGTTTCACTGTGGAGGGTCCGTCTTATTTTGGACGAATCTTTAGTCATTTCTGAACAAGCTTTGGGTCATTCTGGACAATTCTGAGTTAAGATCTGCACCGCTGTGTGTTTGTGTAGTTGTGTAGTTGCACCGCTGTGTGGTTGTGTAGTTGTGTAGTGGTACCGCTGTGTGGCTGTGTGGTCGTAGTTACCAGTCCGTAGGCGGTGCTCCTCTCGTGTTCCTCTGTGATGTCGGCGACGTAGGCGAAGATCACCGAGAAGGTCACAGCGAAAATCCCTGAGACGGAGATCAGAGCGAAATACCACCTGCAGACAGGAAGTGACAGGTGGAGTCAGGCTTCCTGGTGAGGTTCAGTCTGACGTGGTTCTGGGTCAAACATCGGCGCCATTTCTGCTCAACCGGCTCTGACTTAACCTAAACCTTTAATACAGAAAACATGAGTATGTATAAAGACATGTGCCACGTTTCAGATATGTCCCGTCCTCTCTGATTGGCTGTCGTTGACGTCGACCTACTTTCAGCAGGTTTCTTTCAGGCTTTGAAAGACGACACTCAGAAAGTGTGACAGATAAAAGCTGAACTCTTCACCGTCTGTATAACGCGGAGCCTCTGTTGTGTCCAGTGTTGGTAAAACCGGTGGACGTCTGGAAACACGGTGGGGATTTTGACTCTTTACATTTCTGTTAATAAACACCTTATATATGATTATTACTATGAACACACAGCCGTTTACACTTTACACTACGTACATAGTTATTTCTATGAGTGTTTTAATCAATTAAAAGTCCCCGTCTCTGCTCCACTTGCTGTTCATCTGACTTGTACCGCTCCTTGGTTCTGACTGAGTCCTGCTGACAGAAGTTCTCGCTCCTGCTTCACGTTCTGGTTCCTCAGAGCTGCAGGACTTTAGTGAAACATGAACCTCAGAGAAGGACCCGGCAGCTCAGAGACCAGCCGGCCGAGAGAGAACACGTTCAGACTGAGTAATAGGTGCTGTGGCTTTAAAGGCGTCTGGAGGAAATTCCAGGCGTCTCGTGAGCTTCTGCAGCCTGAAACTGGGAGACCAAGAAGTTTAGTTTGAAGCATGAACTCATGTGACTGATCTCAGAGAGTCAGCAGACATCAGCTGACCTGCGGCCTGAACAGTCGGAGCTTCAGCCGGACTCAGAGGCATCGAAGCGAGGTGTGTTTTTACTCTAAAGGACGCTCCAGCTGTGCTACAGATGTTACACACTGTCTGCTGTATTCATGTGTCAGGGCAGATGTGTGGACGGTGAGGGACCAGCAGGAGGAGCTGACCGGTTCTGATCCTCAGACGCTCACATGAGCCACATGTGACCGCTCAGACTGTACAACCTCCAACAAACCTCCAACAAACCTCCAACAAACCTCCAACAAACCGCCCGAGCCCAGCCACTGAGCATCAGAGCTGAGCTGCAGACGACCAGTACCGGCTTCTGCTCGACCGTCTCTGATCTGCCAGAACCATTTATTTTTGATTTTTTAATCCTAAACTCTGGATATTTAAAACAGGATCTCTGAACAAGTTATCTTACATTAAATGCTTTCATATATATATATTTATATTTATTGTAATTACTGTCCACTCCCTTCCAGCAGGTTTTTTTTTCTCACATTTAAATTTGAGGCTGTTTGAACAACGAC